TATATTCATGAAAATACATGTTTCTGAATTTTGATTTTATACTTTTCCAGATTCCTTCGATTTTTGTGCGTTATCAAAAAAGTTCTGGCAAAATTTCAGCTCTCCACACCCCATTAACGTTTCTCAAGTTGTTGATTTTGTAAACTTTAAACGTTTTGCGTAACTAAAAGTTAAAAATGGCGTCAAGCAGCTTGACTCTACAACATAGCAACAATCTTTGATAGCAGCCCTAAGCCCAATTTCTTTACCTTAATTAAAAAAATGGTCAAGGTTCAATGAAATGTCGAAAAACAAAGTTTTGCAGAACTATTTTTATAAAATATATACAATATATATATACAGGGTGGCGCATCGAAAACGACACAGACGCATTTACTGGCAGCTCAGTTTTTTTTTTGGAAAAACGCTCAGACCCTTCGATTTTGTTTTCAAGGGGGACACAAGTTTGGCAAAAAATCACGTTAGCACGTGCAGCCCCCTGGCCGGGGGTGACACCAACCCTAAAATCTTAAATGGAAAGGCGGGTCGAGTGATACCTTATTTTAAAGGTCTTTCAATTCCCTTTATAATGATGTAAAATACATGAGCTACAGTTCAGCAGTTTTGAAGATTTATCGATTTAAAGCTTAAAGTAGACTTTAATAGGTATGTAAATTAAGGCAAACATGTGGATTTCAGTATTTGTTTGCAACTAGCTAAGGTATTTTAGAATGCAATTTTGTTTTAATAAAATTGTTAGTTAGACAATTGAGCTTTTAAGAAATATTTTGTTATAGAACGTAGTCGTAGGAACGTACTTATTAGAGCAAAAAAACAGAACAGTCTTATTACACATTTTAATACTTTTTTTATAAATGTTTACACAACAATTGTCATTTTTTTCGTTTTTGACCTTTTTCTTTACCGTTACTGGACCGATTTTCATAAACTACAAAGCTTTTTCATCATTGGCATAGTAGCAATCTTGTGTGAAAATTTCATCAATATCCGACCGGTACTTTCCAAGTTTTTTCGTGATGTACACAATGTAACATCCAAAAAACATAATATCTCATTTTCAAAATTTTTCGCTATTACATCCCCCGTCAGAAAGCGTGAACAGTAAAAACACAGAATACTGAACTAATGTACGTTTTTTCTCTTTTTTGTAATTTACGTCTTCATATTTTATAAACTTCCTGATACTAATGTTTATGATTCTAGTCTTTCGTAGACTGAACTGTTTCTCAACTGCTGCAGGTTTTATCAAATTTTGAAAAATGTGTCAAAGTACATCAAGCACGCAATAACGGCTGCATTATTGAGCATTTGAAAGTTCTTGCTGTATCTTAAATATTTAATTTGACACCGCGATCACATCTGGTCCTTTGCGATCGGTATAGGCATATTACTAGATATCAAACGACCAGTCAGGTTACAGGTTCACGTCTTACATAAAATACCAGTGGAGCATGTTTTATAGCCCGCAGGCAGCAAATAATGTAACATGCAAATGATTCTTGTTGAATGCAGCGAGGAATATGTCAAGTACGGCTCCATAGCAACCGAAATAGCCTCAGGCCACTGTTCTACGTACTAACATAACGGTACAACCAATAACAGGAAAATTATAGGTACTACATTCTTATGACAGCACTACCTGTATCCAAAGAATCCGAAGTTATTGCTTCAATCCCATAGATGAATGTAATTTGAAAAATTTGACGATGTCTACTTATCTCGTTGTCGATTCGAAAGTGGGTTCACAGGTAGTGCCACCGCTATGTCGCCATTCGATTCTTGAATATTTTATTTTCGTTGTTAACAAGCCGCATCAGTACTACTGTTAGTTATAGTCGAATGTAGCTAGAAGATCCTTCTCAATTCTTAATACACTGTCAGCCAAAATTAGCAACCCACCTGTCTAGACATTTAAATTTTTGTTACTGATCAACTGAGCAATTTATTTCAGAACAAACAGAATTCAAATGGTTCAGTATGGGGGTCACAGATCATTTTCCTTCACTGCCACTTCAGGGGTATCTCAGGGATCTAACCTAGGGCCCCTATTGTTTAGAATCTATATTAATGACCTAGCATTACAGTTAACAAACCTCTATCTATTTTTTGCTGACAACTTGAACTTTTTCCGTGAAATTAAAGAAAATCTCCAACGAGATGTTGATAGTTTAAGTGACTGGTGTGTGATCAATATATTGGATTATCTTTATTTTTCCAAACCACAGTCACTTATGGATTGAAAATACATTGTGTAACTTTAATATGAAACTTGAGTAGTAATCCTTTGAAAGTCGCGAGCATGGCTTGTAATGTTATTATTTATCAGCTAAAAACAAATAAAGCACAGCCTGTTCCACACTGTCTATGTAATATATTGTTTATCGTAGGTAGAGAATGGTTATTGCTTGTAAACAAAAGTATTTCCTATACACACAAAATTATGTAACTCATGATGATGGCATGGAAATTTATTTAAATTATGTTTGTTACGGTTTTAAGCTTTAATGTAACAAATGAAGCATATACCAACTTGAAATATCGTATAATAATGACGATAACATATAAGCGTGGGCAATACTAAATATGTTAGATGCACTGAAACATTATTAAAAGCACTAACTATATTTTTGAATGGTATTGTTAAGCTTTGAGCTTCATTGTCGTTGTACTTTTACGTTTCATGAAACTCCCAGTTATGCCCTAATATTGAGACGGGGGTTTTCTTTACCTTGGAGAATGATGAAAGAAAAAAAAACACCTAAGCAAATAATAATGTCAGTTAAAATTGTATCCTGACAATTTCACCATGTTTAACAGCCTCGAAATACTTGAAAACGATTGATAAATAAGTAATGTTGAGCAGAATAGCTTCTGATACCCCATTGAATAGCACAGTAATCTGCATAATTCTTGAAACGGCCTGTAAAAAAAGCGCTAAAAGCATAACTTTTCTTCTGAGGCAGTCGGCTGAAAAACGTTAATTTAAATGGCAACCCCGCGAGGTAATACGGTTGATATTGCGCCCCCTTTCGGTCATCACGCAAATCAAACTGAAAAGTGGCGCGAACGCGTATTTCGCTACTGGAAAATAGGACAGTGAAACATATTCCAAACAATTTTCGATTACTTATTAGATATTTATATGTTTTGAATGATTTTGTGTAATCCTTTTTGGAAGTTATGAGTATTTGGCCTCCCCGCGCTTCAAGTTTCGGGGGCAGGTACAAAAATGAGCAATCCAAGTTGCACATACCTCTTACATTTTCTGGCTTCCAAAAATATCCAATTACAACGTTGTATTGGCGCCGAAGACGGTCTAAAAAACATGATTGATCCTGGAAGGTAAGTGTCTGAGTAATAAGTTATAGATAAAAAGAACCGCATTCAAATGGAGGGTCCCCTTGGTGAGATTATCTCCAGTGGCGGCGGGCTATTGCTGTTGATGAAGTTTGACATGTAGGCTTAATTAAATCTTTATTTGTAAACTATCTCCAGAATTTTAAAAGCCAAATATTTCCATGAAATTTCAAAATTCAGGGAGAAGCAGGCTGTCTGATTACGCTTTCACAATAGGTTGCTGATGATCGCCCTCCTGTAAAATCTTTTCTTCTATCAGGGCCAGTGAAATAAAATCCATAGTTTCATCATTTCAAGCGCTCCAGCTCCTTTATTATAAATTGTTTGATCTATGTCTGTAGGAACATTTTTTATTAATTGTTTGAATTTCATTTCAACCCTGTATCCTTGAGTGCAACACTGAGAAAGTAGCAAATTTACTGAAATGTCTCCTTTTGATGCACAATTGCGCTGTTGCAGCGTTCGCCGGTCGTTGCGCGCATCGCAAAAAACCGCGATAAATTTCGAAATGAGATTTTATTTTTTTTACATCACGAAACACCATATCACTTATTTCCGTCGGTGGCTGAGCTAGTGGCAAAAATACGAAAAAAATAAGTTAAACCTTGTTTTTTTGACGTTTCAGATGCTCCATATCATTTTCGTAAATTTTTTGTGGGGTTTTTGGGGTTGTAAATGTAACGTCTTTAATATTTGTCAGAGACTCTTACATTAAGAAGCTTCTGATCCTGGTAATAACGGGAAAATTGAATGATAAAAATCTGATGTACAATGTGCATAAAATTTTGAATAACTATTGGCGTTGCGTGCATGACGCATAACTGCAATGAGCAACAAACTCGATGTGGTTACTGATACACCCCTACAGGACAAATATACAGGGTGACTTCGAAGTTGAGTCATTTATTTTAACAGTGAGTAGATCTGATCAAAAGAAATGTTTTTTTCCTTTAACATTTTTCTGGTAAAATTAAAGTAACAAAGTTATTGCCCTTTGGAAGTTTGAGTACCGCCCTGTCTCAATAATAATATTATGTGCTCGTGTTTGGCAACAACGGATATAATCCGCCTTATCGGTTCATCGTATCAGAAACAAAAAAGCGAAAGAATTTGGAACGATGTTTTTACAATTATTTTATTCAGTTGTATACAGTCAGTGTCAGTCGGTAACGCGTGAGTGAATAGTGGTGTCTGTTGCGTGGCTCAAACGAAATAAAAAATGGCACATGTTTATGCGGATCGGTTTCCCAATCGAGTGCAACCAACCCCTCGTGCCTTTGTTAATGTAGTACAACGGGCTCGTGAATCAGGTGACTTAAGACCTCACAGGGGAGGGCATGCCGGTGCTCCAAGACCTCACGATCAAATACAGGTCCGCACTGAAATACTTGTCGGGAGGATACTTTATAAAACAAGGTAAATTTTTTTTTAATTTTTATTTTATTTTTACACACATATTTTGGTTTATCTTCCTTCTACAATCATTATCTGAAAATTAATCACTCAACTTCAAAGTATTAGTAATATTTTTATGTTCGGAGTTTGCAGCTCGTACCATTTTACATATATCTTTATGAATTTTATGATGTACCACCTATTTCGTCTAACCTTTGCGTGTTTCCGTCTATGATGGTTCTCTGAATAGTTCGTCAAGTAGATTGACTCACCCAAATTGCGGGATTGTGCGCAACATCAAATCCGCAATTTCCGCGTCGATCCGGCAACACGGCGGCAATGTTTACATCCACACGCGGCCGCGAACGTGTGTGCGTAAAAACAGGTACCGGTATACCAACGAATCGAATGACCACCTGAAGAAGAAGGAATTCTTCTCGCAACTCGCAGCGTGCCGTGGAACCAACAGCCTGCTCGATTATTTTCGAACGTTCGAGTTCGCATCATGCGCGGCCTTTCTGCCATCGGCACGTTTTTTCCCGGTGCAAGCGCGATTTCGAGCATCTTCATGAATTGAATTATCGAAAATACCGCGCCCAGTGGGCCATGGATGATCCGCGACGAGACAGCTGACTGTCGCGCTCCCGCCGCCATCTGTCAACATCGAACGTTGCAACAAGTGCATCAGTGCGCGAGTGTTTGAGGAAAACTTCCCTCCCGTTTTTCCGGACTTTCTGGGATTATCTTGAGGAAGCATGGCCAGTTTCAGGGATTTGCAGTTCGATTGGTCGATGATCAATACTGATAGCGATAACTGGACCGAAGCAGGTGAGTTTTTTTAACTATAAAATCAAAACTAAGATAGGATTGCTAACCTGAAAATGGTACTAATCAAGTAAGCAGGAGAAGTGATGATAGAGATGGTCATTGCCGGATTCTTAATACCGCAATAACTAAAAAAAGTTATAGATGCTACATACTACAATATACTTTCAATATTATTGATCCGAGACCCTCAATACACGTATCTATTTTTCTGAATTTGATGATCCCTAAATGTACCACCCATTTCGCCTAACCTTTAATTTGTGTTACTCCATCTATGGTGGTTCTCTGAATGTTTCGTCAAGTAGATTGACTCAGTACTTATGACGCATTGATATATAACAGACACTGACCAACAAACTGACTTAAATGAAAAGCACAGTTTTGTCTTTAGGTAGTTGTATATTTTGAAAATAGATTCAGAGACGGGGGAAATAAAAAACATTTCAGAGATTCCTGCTCATTTTCCGATGATGTTCGCGCGAGATGAAAATTGTAGGTTGGAATGTATTTGCGATAAGTGGTTGTAAATTGTTGCATATTTAGTGTTAGTGAAAAACCCATATTATTAACAGGCTGCTGATCTCAGTGATATTCTATGCTCATCTTAGACATATTTTCCCTATATCTGCCATGGAAACAGAAATACGATGATAGGTTTGCTTTATATAGTTTGATATGCAGCGGAAATTTGTCGATTTTGCCTTTTGAACGATTTGACTAATTTTTTTTTAAAATCCAATCAAGGCGCAGGAAGTATAGAGTCAATGTACTTGACGCGATTTCTTCCTAGCTTTAACATACGCGTTCAATGATAATTATTTCATAGTTGGTGATATTGATGACCTAGTGTGAAGTGCAAGGTTAATTTTTTCTATCCAAGCATGTATTCTCGTAATATTTATATAAACACATCACCGTTCATTTTAATAGGACAATAAATATGTTCCATGTTCCATCTTTACTACCTATATACAGTACGTTACTTTTTATGGGTTGTCTTACCTTCTCAGGTTATTATTGCCTGACACAACAGTACTAATAACATAAAATTTATATCACCATGAAAACCTTTATCACGACGACTTTACGATGTTCTTCCTCTATAACATAAAAGTTGATGCAATACGCTTGAAACTTCAATAGTTTAAAAAAAATGTCATGTAGGTTGAATAGATGCAGTTATCAATAGATATTTTTGTTACATCGACGCAGCCGCTCAGTCTCAGGTCTAAATACCAGGGCACACCGACTACTCGGAGGATCTTAAAGAAACTTTGTTAGTCCGATTTTTGGACTGCCCCAGGTTAGCAGAGCAAAGGAGCGGTCGCATCGACCAGTTCTGGATGTACGAAGTTCGCCACTGTCAGGATCAGAGGCCGAAGTCAGGCGGGTCTATCTGGCAGGTACCTCATGGAGCAAAGCCCGTTGGCATAGCGGTAGACGAAAGCTGGAACTCCTAAACCCTACCAGATTGTCGTGTTCTCAAGCAGGGATAACCTCCAGGTCTCCCATCAGAGTGGAAGTCTGGTCGCTCTCAATTCCTGCACGTAGAGTGCTGTCATCGGCAAAGGTGTGGATCCGACTGGTCGTATAGGAAATAATGTTTCCCTCAGCAGGCTGTTCCGATATTTTCAGCGCGTAAAGTAACGTGAAAAGTCGTGGATAAAAGTGTTTGTGTATCTCGGGCGTAATAAAAGTTTATGGGTTAGTGGCAATTTTTACTCAATGCTTTCGTAACTTAAACAACTATTATATTTATAGCTCGTCCAATCTGTACCATGATAATAAAAACAAAGGAATAAAGGATATTATTACTTTGAACCAGATATCCTAGATAAAACCGATATCTGTCGATCAGATATTTCACCTGCCGCTGGTCTAGTTCCTACAGAATCCTTGGAATACCGGTCGGTGTGCGCAAGAATTCGTCGTGAATTGAACAAATGCGAAAGTAAAAGTGAACCAACACTGCACCACAGAACAGGTAGACGCATATGCAGGCTGTATAATCATAATTATGTTTAATAGTTAGTTATTTAATTCTGAACTTGACACCGCTCTTGCTCGCTGCTTGCTTCCTTAATGGTCCATTTATACCGTAAAATATTTCCGTTCTTCTCATCAAGTCATTCCCACGCAAGGTGTCGTAAATATTTGTAATATGTAGGTTCGCTTTATATTTTATTCTGTTACAACAAATGACATGGCATTTGCATAAAATGTTGAAACACCGCTCCCTTTTGCATATTTCTTCAGCTTGAGATCTAGTTGAATATGTATGTAGATCTCGGTTTACACGGACAAACAAATTTTCTTTACAGACTGTTTGGGAAAATCTGTTGAGGTATTTAGCTTAACGATAATGTTATGTTGAGAAATATTTGCTCGGGTACAAAAATTAGTTTAAATGTTTCAGGTGGAATCCATGTATAGGAAGTTTAAATCCAATAAATTATAGTTTTGAGAACTAAAAGACACGCGTTAACAGCTAATCGAACTACAAAGTAGAAAATAACGTTCAATAATAGGAGAGTTTGTGCTACTGCAACAGAAAGTTCAAAAATCAAGTATGACCAATCAATTTGGCATAAGATTGAATAAAAATTAACATATTAACCAAAAATTCAATCATAGAGAAAATACGTGGGGTTCTCGAGAATAAACGTTAGTATTATATTTTTCGTTGCTATTAACAAAATGGATATCAAGAAAATACAGATTTATACTGAAAGGCTACCATGCCTGAATACTTCAAAGACTACATGAATTGTATCGACATGAATTGACCAAAGAAGCTGCTAGATACGACTATCGAGAATTAATGGAACTTTCAATATTTCTTGGTGGAGATACAGAGAACAAATTTAAGATTCGACCATCAGGCTGTACTAAATTTCCAGCTTATACTTTCTAATAAGGATAAGGCAGCTCTATTATACAGGGTGGCGCACCCTGTATATCTGCCTGTTTCTCGTGACAAAATAGTACGTGAAACCGTACTTGCAATGCACTTTAGCGGTAAAAGCACCTAACCAGGATATATGCGTTTTAAAGGCAATGAAGGCCCACGAAAGAATTGACAAAACTATTTCAAAAGAAGCTTTATAAAAGTTCTGTCGGCATTTATGGCATATGTCAGACGAGGTCGCTGTGTTATCTCAGTTTGACGACGACGCAGATGAGAAAACTAAAGTTGCTAATTTATCCAAAGAAAGTCCATCAACCCACGGTAAACGGTGCATCCATCGGAAGAACTTTCTGGCCTACTTTATGGTAAGTCTGACGAATAAATTTTCCTGTGTCTTCGATATAATATGCTGTGAAAATAAACCAGCATAAACTGCGATTCTGGCAATAGATGGCACCTTATACTGTATTGTTGACCCGAGGCCAATCCTAGACGAAGCAGAATAGCTTGAAGCTTTCCAATCTTCGTAAGGTCTTATATTTTACAACTATATTTTGAATTACTTTGTAATACTGCCCACTTTTCCTAATTTGTGATCACGACTGTACACAAAGTCAATGCCATCGATGCGGTATAGAATCTGAATCTCGATTAGTATTCACAGAGAGCCTCGAGGTGGTTGTATGGCTAACTGGTATGTCCATTTCGCATAGGAATTCATTTTTAACGGATTCCTGGTAGACGAATGTAAAAAAGAAACATGGAACAGGTATCTGGAAGTGTCACGTTCCTTTTATAACCATGCATAGCCATACGTGTTTATGAGAACGCGATACATGCATAGATATGAATTCATGATGAGAATTTAGTCTTTGTCGTTTGTAAGTGATCGTGAGCTAGAAGTAATATGCCAAGAAATAGGGATATTTTGTAATGGGTGATTTTTTTGCTAGTATCTTTTTGGCAACACTGTTTTTGACAGATGACGCGTGAATCGTGTCTTGTGTCATTGTCAAACTTGTTCAATTTGGTCTATAATTTAACCATGAATCGACAACGGTTGCAAATTATTAATTTTACTATCAAAATTCATGCTCGGTTAAGAGAGTGCATCGAGCACTGCTTCCAATTTATGGGCAATTTGGTCGGCCTACTGAGGGAGCTATTCGGTAGCTTGTGACTAAATTTCGAACCCAGTTTACATTATTCGACATTAAACCACCAATACGCAGACGTAGAGTGAGGAATGAAGAAAATATTGCGGCTGTATCCGCCAGTGTTAGTGATGAGCGTGAAATGTCGATTCGCCGCCGTTCGCAGCAATTGGGCCTCTGTTACTCCACTACGTGGAAAATTTTGCGACAGGAGGAAGATCCACATTTTTATCGAAAAATTGTGTTAAGCGACGAAGCTCATTTCTGGTTGAACGGGTACGTTAACAAGCAAAATTGCCCCATCTGGAGTGAAGACCAGCCAGAAGCATTGCAAGAGCTACCAATGCATCCCGAAAAAAATCACTGTTTGGTGTGGATTATGGGCCGGTGGCGTCATCGGGCCGTACTTCTTCAAAGACGACAATGGCCGGAACGTAACTGCGAATGGCGAGCGCTACCGTGCGATGATAACAAACTTTTTTTGCCCAAAATGGAAGAGCTGGACTTGGCTGACATGTGGTTTCAACAAGACGGTGCCACATGCCACACCGCACACGAAACAATGGCCCTATTGAGAGGCGAGTTCGGTGAACAGTTTATCTCACGTTTGAGCCCCGTCAATTGGCCGCCAAGATCGTGTGATTTAACGCCGTTGGACTATTTCTTGTGGGGCCATGTTAAGGCTAATGTTTACAGGGATAAACCAGCAACGATTGACGCACTGGAAGCCAATATTGAAGCATTTATTCGTGAGATACCGGCCGATATGTTGGAGAGAGTGTGCCAGAATTGAACCTTGCGCACGAGCCATCTAAAGCGGAGCCGCGGCCAACGTTTACATGAAATAATCTTTAAACATTAAATTATATCGACCGTTCTATCGACTAAAATAAAGATTTAATCGTTTTTACAAATTTTTTTGAAAATCAAATATACCTCTTAAAAAATCACCCGTTATAAGGAACATTTACTGTTGCCAAAATTGTAGGAAAACATTACTTATTTCTTGGCCTATGAAAGAGAACTGATGTGTGGTACCTATCTGAAATGAACGCCTGTGCAAAATTTCAGATTTATCAGTTGAAAGAATCAGTTTTAAATTCCGTTGCAAGATTTTTCCGACAAACGCCCGATGAAACGGAAAGATTAAGTTCCAAAACTGTTAATTACCATGTCCATCATCGGAATGCTTTATTATTAAGCGTTTTCGCAACATCGTAAGTGGAATATGTGCTGAATGCCAAAATTACATAAAACGAGGCGTTAAACACTTAGACAAGCTTTCACTCAAGTAACGCACACACAAATTACAACATTATTGACGGTATTAGATCCAACGGACTCGCCCCTTGAATAGATATGCATTTTTCGGCTTACCTTCAACTGTACTGTCGCTTTATTATGTAAGATTTCAGTGAGGGTACATAATTTAAATATAATGACTCGCTTGAGAATTCGAAATAAAAAGTTGCCTTCTCATTGGTGCTCAAAAATGTTGATCTCCTATCAGTAAAATCAGGCCTAAAAGGGACTAACTCGAGCAGGATATGATCCCTTATGAATTCGATGACAGCGTTGCGTAGCGAGTGCGGTGTCAACCTTCTTGATAAGCTGTCATACTTTGACAAAATTCTGTTTGTAATGTTCCACAGCTATTGGTTGCTAAAACTTCTGGAATGAATCTTAAAGCTTATTTGATCGAGTCTTACGTTATCGGTGGAAAATAACGGCTGTTTTGAGACTCTTGGTGTATAGTATACCGATTGTAACCTAGGAGGAACGTAAATATACTAAGTGACATATAAATCCGAACACCCAGTTTAAATGGTTTTATTTTAATAAAAGTTGGTGAATGTATTTATCTTACTGTAAATAACAAGTGAAAAAATGTTCAGCCTTATCAGTTGGACATTCTGGTTTTTATACTGCTTTTTTTAATTCACTAACGCTCTAAAAATGAATATTTCAGCCGCAGTAAAGAATCAACGTTGGCGGATTTTGGTTCTTGACATCCTTTACGATCGGTTACGATGCCTAGAGTACGGAGACCTGTACGATTTCGTCCACTTAGTGAGTTTGATAGGGGGCGTATAGTAGGACTTCGGGAAGCTGGACTTTCTTTTCGGGCAATTGCAGTTAGAGTGCAAAGAAGTGTAGACACTGTGGTTAGGTGTTGTCAGGCATGGCTTCGAGAAGGCCGTACGCAAAGACCAAGGGGCACTGGACGCCGCCGTAGAACAACAGACCGTGAAGATCTCCGCCTAAGATTATTGGTCTTAAGGGACCGTTTCTCCACTACCAGGTCCATTGCAAATGAATGGTTTGCAGAACACGGAAGACCTATTGGCATGCGAAGTGTTTACCGACGAATGAGAAGTTTTGGCTTGTTTTCATACCGGCCACACTGGGTCCTCCCTTTAACTCGAGAACACCGACGTAATCGCCTTGAGTGGTGCAGACAACGGTCACTCTGGAATCAGGAATGGAACAGTATTGTCTTTAGTGACGAGTCTCGATTTTGTTTATGCATGCACGATGGTCGTGCCAGGGTTAGAAGGCGACGTGGTAAAAGGAGGAATCCACAGTTTTTTGTTGAAAGACATGTTCATCACACTGTTGGAGTTATGGTTTGGGGTGCTATAGGTTATGGTTCCAGGTCACCTTTAATCTTCATCAGAGGTAACATGAACGCGCAGCGTTATATCCACGAAGTTCTAGAACCCCACCTTTGCACATGTTGCAAGAGTCACAATAGACTTCTTTCAACATAATGATGTCACATTGTTACCATGGCCACCAAGATCTCCCGACTTATCCCCAATTGAGCACGTGTGGGATATGATGGGTAGGATATTGCTCAATTTGCAACGTCCTCCTCAGACTCTAGAAGCATGCCGAGAGGAGTTGGTGGTTGCCTGGAAT